GGTGACCTTAAAACTAGGTTGGACTGGTTTCCACCAAATCCCAACCGGTTCGAATAGTCCGTCTAGGTCTTGAGATCGGGCCCCACAAAAGTCACCATAAACTACAAGTTCAAGGGGTTTAGCACCAAACTAATTTATATAGATATGTATCTCATAGATAAACACATGTGTAAATTAGAGTTTAGGTCGAGTGAGATCAAGTACACCCTCGCCTAAGTACCCTCTCATCCACATCAAAGCACATATGCAAATTATACACAAAAATGGCCCGAATACTTACTCACAGAACAAGAACAGCAAAAGTGCAAAAATCGCGTCGCGAATGATAGTTAGTAAGCCTCACTGGTTTCGTCTAGCTCCCCATCGACTAAAATAGAAGATTGCACCACATTATTTCACAAACGGCTACTCATATGCATAAATCAAGCAAAACGACAAAAATGGACACACACACGCGCGGAAACGGCAAACGGCCGTCAAAACGGAAACGGCAAATTTGCCGTCCCAAACTGTTTTAACTAAAAGTTAGGCTAAAAATGTTGGATTAAGGTATATAAGACACCGTTTCGAAGTTAAGAAGAAGGGCTACAACTTTCATGAAGACATCTCAAGCCAGATCTCAATAGAACTATGACTAAAATGTATAAGACAGTCGCAGCCGTTTCAATTCAGGTTACCGAGCAGGTCCTATTTGAACGATTATAACTCATGACTCAGAGATTGGAATCAAGAAATTCCAGAGGCGTTGGAAAGCTCATTTATAAGGCTATAACTTTTGTGTTTTGACCACAGGTTGAATCAGTACAGAGTATAGGGAAAACGGGTTCAAAATTCCTGTCAGAATTGTCCAACTTCAAAGGCAGTTCTGACACCCGATCTTGTTTTGGATATAACTAGAGCTACGGAACTTGGATTTGGAAGCACTTTATACTGTTTTGAAACTAAAACAAAGATATACAAGTCTTATGAAGACCTCAACTCCCAGTTCCTTCGTTATCAATGTGAACTGAGCACGGTTAGAAGCAAAATCAAGAAACGTAGCACAATTCAGAGTTTAGAACAGAAGCGAGGGTTTTGGTCATAACTTAGGCTACACATATCCATTTGACCTGAAATTTTGCAGGCACAATAAGCACTTAAGAAGCTACAACTTTCATGTTTTGGGCAAACCCTGAATCAGTACATAACACAAAGAAAAATGTAGCCAAAGTTCAGATTCTGGGCTGCCTTGTTTTCCAATTTAACCGATTTCGCACGTCGCAAACACATGGTTCGTTGCTATGGTTCTCGTGCAAGTTTTCTAACCAATTTCATACCAAATAAACACACATAAACCACCTCCTGTTTGCCCTACAAGAAAACCGAAATTCCTTTCCCTATTTAATCCCAAAACTTACCAAACACTAACCATAATTTCTAACCTAGCTTTATATACATCATTGAACCTAATCCAACCATTACTTAGCCAAACCCTACCCAACCAAACCCTAACCAAGCTAATACACCCTACCTTAATCTAGGGTTTCTTGATTCAAACCAGCCCTTGCTATCAACCAACCAAACAAATGAGGCAAATCATCAAATATATCAATTACAAGTTAAACAACACAAGATTAGAACTAAGTAACATGTGCATCATTAAACCCTAACTAGGGCAGCCATAACCAAAAATTTGGAGCAATAAACCACTAATATAATCTATTAAACTACTCTATAATCACCATATAAACCATAAAAGTTTACAATCACAACAAAACATCACTTTCATAGCTTCAAGATTTCACCACCAAAAGTTAACTTCCAAGTAAGATGATTTACCTTCAAGTAAGCCTTGCAAGTGATAAAACTCCAACAATCAAGTGCCAAAGTTGTTGTCCTAAGCTCCAAGATCAAGATTGAAAGCTAGAAGAAGATGAACTTGGAAGAAATTTCCTCCTCCCTTGGCTTCTTACTCTCGACCCTCTCTCTCTCTTTCTCTCCTTGGTTTTGTTTGGTTTATTTCTTATGATTATCTAGCAAAACCTATGGTGTATTATAAGTCAAAGCTTATGGAAGATATTTTCCACCACAACCAATCACATAAAAGTTCACATTTTGCTTCTTAGCCCTTACACTTTCACTTTGTCTTTCTTACATTCTTGCCCATAAATATATGAAAAGCTTTCAATTAACTCCATAGGTTACAAACTTAATCTAATCTAAAACACTTAATCACACTTAAGTCCTTTACTAATCATCCTCCTATAGTAATCACCTATACTTAGTCATACCTTATCTCACATAAAAGCAAATAAACAACAACTTTCTTATCATGGGAAATATTAAGGGTTGTAAACCCAACTTAGGGTTCTCATAAACCATAACACTAGAGATGTTTTTCCTTATTTAGGGCTTCTTAACTTTTTAAACTCACTTAACCTATATAAAATGGATCAAATCCTATACTTACTTGTACTAACACACACACTAGCATAACTAACTTTAACTACAACTCAAACTTGTGATTAATACAAAAACTAGGGTTTCAATCCTAACCCAAATTAGAGTTTTCTAATTAGCCCTAAAACCCAATTTTACCGCACAAATAATTCACCTCACCTACTATCAAACTTAAGGACTAGTCGGGGTCTCACAATTTTCACAATATTTTGGTAGGTTGCTATAGGATTTTGCATGTGATTTTTGAACAATCTCTAAAGCTCTCTTTTTGGCTCTATACACTTGGTTCAACACCAAATTTCAGCATCTTAGCAATTACTCCCTCAGTTGTGATATTAGGATGCTCTCTCAACACATCAACTAATTTCACTGCAATCCAGTCATAGGTTGTTTCATTATTCTTTTTATTCATTACACATGTGTATTCAGGATTGTAAGATTTCACCATGAAAGTGATAGAGTCAGCAATTGGAAATGCATGTATTCTCCAATTGCAACCTTGTGCACCACATTTAGTAGTCACTCTGATTTTTTCATTATTCAATCTCACTAATGGAAAGTCTTTTTGTATGATGTAATCTTTTAGAACAACCCTAAAGGCATCAACATCAGTAAAAAGCATCCCTTTCTGAAATTCAATTTCATCTCTGGGATTGTAAGTCCACATTTTGGACTTCATTACAGCTTTCATATAGTCTGGTTCTTCGTCAGATTCAGTATCAACCACAACACCTCCATTTTCATTTTTTTCAAAATCTGAAAAGTCTGCATCATTATTATCTTCAGAACAAAGCGAAGCATCATCATCACCTTGAATGTCATGTAACTCATTCTTCAAATCATATCAGAACCTGAATCATAGTCCTAATATTCATCCTTACTGCTAACCATGTCATCCAAAAGTACCACTGCATTATCTTGTATTCCTAAGTTCTCTTGGTCAATCCCATGATTATTTCCTTCTATGTTGTTAACTTCTGGAGGGGGAAATATGTCTATGTCTAACAAGTGAAGGTTAATAATCAGGTAATTTTCATGTAGTTTGAACATTTCCAACACTGACTTATCATCAATGACATTCAAGAACCCCAAACCTCTAGGGATTACGCACCGTATATGTAGTAGTATGTTTAGATTTCCAAGAAACTGATTTAATGCCTTTTCAGCAACATCATTAAGGAGTTCAATATAAGAGTACTTATCAACATCAACATTAGGAATTTTACATTTTCTCCCCATATAATGGATAACAGTATCATGTGCGACGACAAATCCCATCCTACATTTAATACAAATATTCAAATTTTGTGAAATGCAAGCATATACAATAAGCCACACATATCATAAACAAGTACTGCATTGACTTTAGCACATAAACATAACATTATAGAGGTTGCATATACAGCAGCAAACATAACTTTGTCTGATATTTTTCTAGAGTTTTCAGACAAATAATATCCCAATAACCAAACTACTAATAACATACATCATCTTAAGCAGAAGACTGACATTTGGACCAGTTTGCAATCAGCATGCTTACTCCTATTGATAACACAAATTACACCAGCATAGAGATGGATTTTGTACCTGATTTTCCAGCTAGAGGATGTGTCTAAACAACAAGCAGATGTTTGAGCAATCTCATGGGTTGATCATGTATGATATAAAGGAGTTCAATCACTATGTGCAAGGTTGTAGTGTTCCTGGTTCTTATCCTTGTTCTCTTTGTTTGAACAGAGAGCAAGAAGTAGCAAGTGAAGTTTCAACTCCAACACCTTTGCACTTCCCTTTTGAAGTGTCATTTTTATGGCTCCAAAAATTCCCGCTTATGATTACTACAGTACCAAAAATTGGCGCCAATCACTAATTTCTTGTAACTATTTACACACTTTGCTTCATAGTTTTTTTCCCCACCAATCCAATTCATTTTACCATGATAATTTGCAAGGCAATTTCATCATTTAACTCTAATTGATGGCAACATTTTGTCCCCTCGATTTGACAAGGGAGTTAGGTGTTCATTTTGAAACCACAGGGATGCTAGCTGGGATTAGGCCTAACCTCAGGGGAGGTTTCTGAATTTATCCCTTATTTGAAATGGTCTTTTTGTCACTTACAAAATTCTTTCCCTACAACAAATTTTTCCAAAACTAATGGTATTACCTCTTTTTTTTTGCTTTTGTTTTGAGGACAACAATATCACCTCTTAAATGATAAAATTCATCAATTATGTTAACTTTATGTACATTAACATGGGCACCGTTGGCTGAATTATTGTTTTAATTAGATTTAAAACCATTTTAACCAAACAATTTTTTGTTTGCAAACATGGATAAGATATTCAAATTAAACCTAATTGAAACATGTAATATCTTTGTAATATCGTGAATCAAATTAAACTCCAGCATAATATGATGATCATTCAACATTTCTCTTCACTTGTGGATTTTTGACGTGACTAGAAGTAGATAATGATGATCTTGAGTTGGAGAGGGAAAGGATAAAAAAGAAGGAAAAGCGATTAAGGAAAGGATCAACTCAGTTAATAAGAGAAAAAAGGTAATTTGTGAAATTTTAGAAAATACTTGGATCGTTTGAAACGAAGTTTGACTTTTAAATTGTTAGGGTATTTTGTTGGTAATTTTCAGCGCATATGTTGGTATTTAATTTTTTAAAACTGCAGGGGCAAACTTGTTCCAACCCTCGTGATTCATGTCTTCCTTCCTCTGCAATCTTTTTTGTACTAAATTCGACGCTCTCCTTTTACTCTTCTGCCTATATATGCAAATTCAAACCAACTGCCCATTTCTAACCGTTTGAAGCCCAATGGAAAGAGGAGAATGTTCTACTCCTGTGTCCAACCCCTCCGACAATGGTGATGATATCTGGGCCAAACTTGGTTAGCCCCTTGTTCCTCTCTCTCTCTCTCTCTCTCTCTCTCTCTCTCTCTTGGAATTCTGCCAATTCTGCGGTGAGAAAGATAATTCTTGAACTTTTAAAGTACATGATTGCTTTCAATCTTTTATTGCTGTTGTTGAGAGCATAGCCCCCTCTCTAATTGCTTCATTTTTCTTTTTCCCTTTTCCTCCCTTTTTTGTTATATTTGGTAGAATTCTACTTAGTTGCATGTTCAGAAAGATGAATTCTTGAACTCCTACATCTTTGTAATTGATCCCAATTCTTTTTTTTTTCCCTTGTCGTTGTTAGTATAACAAGGGTGCATGTTCTTGCTGTAGAATTGAGGGTTTTGAATAGTGTTTCTAAATAAGGTAGAAAGATTGATTCTTTCTCCATTTTGGAGGTTTATTAAGCCATAAAATGTTGTTGATTTTCTCATGTCTACCCTTATTTGGTTCATTTTTGCCTGCATTGTAAATTCTTTGAATATTGAATATCTTGAATTTCGTTTTGTGAATCTCTTTTGTTGGAAAGAACAGAAAAGACAGTTTTTGCCCTTGGTTCTCGTCCTTATGGAATTTAATCAATGAAATTTGGACCTAATTGACTTTGTTATGATTATACTGATACTGACTATAATGAGCAATTCTTTCTTTTATGTAGCTATTAATATGAGGGGGGAAATATGGCCCTCTGTCATGTTTGAACTTTACAGTGCTAGGACATTGGTTAATAACAGTGAGATCTTGCCAATTTGACACTTTTACTGTCAGTAATTCTGAGAAAACGTAATAGCATTTTTCTTTGTTTTATTGGGTTTAGGGTATAGACTGTGCCCCTTTACATGAATAAGTGTGCCAAGAATTTAACTATTGTCATTAAAGGTCTTTTTGTTCTTTTGTAGTACCTTCAAATTCGCAGTGCTCGGACATTGGATTGACGTCAAGTGAGACACTAATATGCTCTGAGATCAACATCTCATCATCTGCAAAGTCTGAGTGGTGTAAAATTATAAGAAATATGGATCTGGCTTCTGCCACAATACAGAACAAGAGGTATGCAATATTGTAACGCAAAGTGTGCTTTAGAATATTCTGTTAGTGGAAGTATTTCTTGTGCTTTACATATATCAATGAATAAGGGAGCAATTGTGATTTTCGTTTCGATGAGAACAGTGTATAAAAATGGTTTCATTGTCACGAAAGGAGTTACTACTTATCCTAATTACCATACCATCTGAGATTGAACATCTTACTAAATTGGTGTCTGTATTGCATTTTTTTTAATCTTATGACTTGCATATGAGTCAAAAAACTATACTTTTCATTGAAGAAGTCAAATTCTACATATTTGACTTTGGATGAAACTATTGAGGTGAACTGGTGGATGGTAATTTTTTCCCCTTTTGCTAAATAATTATTTTTGATAAATTCTGTGGACTGGAGTAGTAAATTATTTATTTATTGACACATCATGTTTGAGTTGTTTTTGTAATGCATTAATTTACTTGTTGATTTTTACCAAAACTTCTTTCTTTGGCGGCTATGTCTTGGTGCACAGCAGGGAGAAAAGAGCTGTCTTTGCAGTTGTAGCTGTAAAGAGAGTTTCTGCAAAATATTCTATGAAATATTGATGTGTTCTCATAAGAGAAGTTAGTTTGTGTATGATGTGCCTGTTATTTAACCTGCCTTTGGTTGGTCTACATGTACTTACGAGGAAATTATGGGAGACTTTAAGCATTACCTTTAATTCATATAATTCACTGGTTTAGTCATTGTTGTGTTCCCCCTTTTTTTTTTTACTTTTTTTTGTTGGCACCAGTTATGTTTGCTGGAAGCTGTTCTTTCTGGGGTGACAGTTTAGTTTCTGAAATTGGACATCCATCTTTCTTCAATAATTTGGCTCTTGTAATATCATTTGATTAGTATACATCAGTTTATGCATCCATGAATTTTTCTTAATGTGTTTTGTTTGGGTCTTTTTGTATCACTTTTATGTGGTTCTTTCCTTATAAAGTGAGGTTCTTTGTAGTTGACCTGCTTTCTTATTTTAGTGCTATTTTCTGATCAGATTGTGTTTATCCATGATCCATCTAGCTGATTGTTTGGCAATTGAATTGGTTTTCATGTCAGTTAGGGATTTAGAATTTTTAGTCATCTTTCTTTTGCTGATATTGTAGTGAAAACGAAATCATTGTGGATGAGATGGTTGTTTCTGGTGAAGAAACTGCGGTTATCAGATGTGGCAGTGAGATTATCCCTTGTTCTGATAGTGAAGGAAAAGGTGAGATTAATTACTTGTTTCGGCTTTCTTTTAGCTAGTTTCTTGTCCAAATTAATCTTTTTTGGGTCTCCTTGTGAAAATTTCAAGCTATTTATTCACACAATTGCTGGTGGACTTCTTAAAGTGTTTCAAAATTTTCAGGATCTACTGTTTAATTATAGCATCTGATATAGCCAAGAAATGTGATCAAATTCTCTGTTAGAGGATTAGAGGGCATCAAAATTGGTAATATACCCATCAGAAAGAGATACAGTTCTCACACAGGCACTTTCCCCCTCGCTCTATTCCTCACATTAACACACACACACAACACACTCACTGACTAAATCTCACGTGCAGTCTTACATACAGCCTTTCAAACTTACATGTGCATCACTACCAGCCTGTGAAAATAAAAGCGCTGAAGTTGCTCTACTAACTGGCTTCCAGTAGTTAAGATTGGGAAAATATCTGAATCCACTGATGATTCTGCATTATGAGCTGTAAATACTTTTTACAATCTGTTGTGGCAGGTGTAGTCGTTTTAGGGTGTTAGTTTTTTATTCTGGTATTTCTTCATTATATTGCATTATCCCATCTTTCGTGTAATTGTTGATACAAACCCATCAGTATATGCCTCTGATGGCATACAGTTTGCATTTTATAATATTCTTGTCCTATTTAATTGTAACATTTTTTGATGTCTTTTATTGTTTGCCTTAATTGTTAGTAGTGTCGAAGATGTGATTTTGGTATACCTGGAATAATTTGTTCATCGTTGTTAGTTTTGTAAAATTTTCTATTATTTTTGTGCTATGATAAATCTTATGGATGAGCGCTGTTGCTTAATGCTGGCCAATGTCTTTTTTTCCAGGGCTTTTGAGTTATAGATTTAAAGTAATGCCTACCTCCGAACCATTCAAGAGAGACCTGAAGGTGACTGACATTAGCAACACATGAAGCTTTTAAGTGAACAGTGATACATGTTTACCATTCTTTTGTGCTTAATTTGATATCTTCTTCTTGTAGATTTTCCTGGATCCTGAGCATGCAAAGTGCTGCATTTGTCTTAATGTTTGGCATGATGTTGTGACAGTTGCGCCCTGCCTTCACAACTTCTGGTAAAGAAGAAAGGCCTTCATACTTTCAAATCTATTTGTACCTTATTTGGATTATTATTGTTTATTCTGTCTTTTTCAGCAATGGATGTTTCTCAGAGTGGCTAAGAAGGTCCCAAAAGAAACATTCAAATGTTTTATGTCCTCAATGTAGAGCAGTTGTACAATTTGTCGGAAGGAATCATTTTCTACACAGTATTGAGGAGGTAAAGTTGATGATTCAACCACTATTCTTCTTAATAGAATGCATTCTTCAATTCCAAGATACTTTCAATTTTCTTTCCCGAAATGAAATCATATCTCTAGTTGGTGGTTATAAGTTGAATTTGTCCCTAGCACTTAATAGATTTTGTAGTTCTTTGTACCTTTGAAGGAATTGCAGCCTGTGAGTTGTCACCAGAAGCCAACTTTTTAAACCACTTTATGTAGTATCCTATATGTGTGATATTGCCTTATAACCCCTTTGTCACAGTCTCTTTCTCCTTCTCTACCCCTCCCCCCTGTTGGACCTTCTCCTCCATCCAACAATCCTAGGGAGTTCTATTGCGGCAGCAGAGGCACCAAGACTACAAGCCTTGTTTACTTTTTCTTGGGGACAGTTATAGCATATACACATCTGCAACTCGTTTTTTAACTTCTGGTTTTGATTGTAAGTCCTTTCTTCCACAGGATGTATTAAAAGCAGATGATTCGCTGAAGCGGTCAGTTGAAGAAATTGCTGTCTTAGATTCATATGCATCAATTAAGTCCCCTCTGGCAAGTTATTTTGTTCTGTGTGCTAGTTGTTTCGTTAATCTCAGAGTCTCTTTGAATAAAGTTTCCAATTGCCCTATGCGCATGTCTTATGCTTTTACTTTGTCCAGTTCTTGCTTTTGTTTGGCCTTAATAGCTTATAATATCTCAAAGAGTTGAATTGTGTGGAGTTACATTGTTAGGATGTTTATGCATGTTTTCATGCCAAGTATTTACAAAACAAAAGATTGATAATCTATATTTTTCCTGGCTTCCTTGCTGTTATTCCAGAGTCAGAAAATGGTGATATTTGAATTTTAAAGTGATACAAGTTTGAAAAAGAAATGAAATTTCATAGAAGGAAAGATATACTTTATTGTTTGAAATGTATGTACCTGTTGAAATTTGCTGTTCTGAAAAAAATATAGGATCGACTAAAAATCTATGTTTATGCATATTTCAGTAAAAGGCATAAAACCTTGTAGGTCACCTTGGGCTTTGTTGATATAATGCATGTTGGTTTTAGTGAAAAAGATTGAGCATGTGCATGGTTCGAAGTCTTGTTAGATAAGTTAAAATGGGCTTCTCGTTTCTTCACATTTTGTTGGAGTTCCTACGCAAATTGCGAGTTTGAACTTGAACTTGGTGCCGATATTATTGATATAATTTGAGAGCATTCATCCTTCCGAGGCTTAACAATGAGCTAGTCAAACTTCTCTTGGCAGATTATTTTTTTTAATTTCATATTACAAGAAGTTTTCATTATGCTTGGCTAAGCAATTACTGAGGGTACCATATCCTCTAAGACTATTTGGGCTAGAAGGGCTTGGATGTCTAGTGAACTTTTACAAATGTAATGCCCTTTCTCGCGTCACTTATCTGATACTTCACCTCAAACTTCATTTAGTGTACATGTTGTTCAATAGTCATGTTTGTCTATTGGAAACAGACCTATGTTTTTTAACCAGTACCCGTATTTTAGGTCTTGAACGCTGGGAAAAAAAATCGTCGGAAGAGACTGCGTTCTCCACCAGAAGATTTTCCTCGAGAAGCTGAAAGCGATTTGGAGCTTCCATGCCCTCAGTGTGGTATGATGATTCCTTGAATCATGTAATATTCTTTGAGTAAGCGGCTTGAGTTGCAAATTTTAAACATGGTTGTATTTCCATAATTGATTAGAAAAAAGTCCTTATTTCACTTTTCTATTGTAATAAAATCACAAGAACCTTCCTTGTATTGTTATCCTTTTAGATGATACCTATAACTTTTCTGTTTTCTTTTGATATTTATTAGTAAGTGACTCTTTCAGGCACTGAATTTGCTGGGTTTCGGTGCAACCAAAGTACAGTTCACCTTCAATGTCATTCATGTGGTGGAATGATGCCTTCCAGAACGAGTGCTGTCCCACAACACTGTATATTCTTTGGCCAAACTGACTATTCTGCAATGTTCTTTTACTAGTTATGCCTTTGCGAAAAGAAGCTAATTGCATGTCTTCTGTTGGCTTTTGTTGATCTAAATTTTAATCCTTTTCTGACTTGTCTATACAAGGTCATGGTTTTTCTTAAAACTCCTAATCTATATTTTGGTTTTCTAAACATGTTACCTACAGACAGGTAACCTTAATTGTTGAACTTACAATTGTCATGGGTAAGTGCACAAATTTCCTTCTTTCCAAAAATGATTAATGATATTTTCAAAATAGCTTAGGTATTTTCAGTGTTAAATTATAGTAAGTGTGTTCCACTGAGAAGTTCTTAACAAGGTGTAAGGCCAACCGTTAATCCACCTCCACTTCTAGATGCTGACAGCCGATACCCTAGGTGATTTCTAGGCCTTGCCATAGTCTCCAAAACTACTACTGTCATACTGTCTCCGTACCCAATATTATAAGGAAAATCATCATTGGCAGAGCAGGTCCTCATATCCCGCTGTGCTAGTATCACCAATAGCAGATCCATCCATGTTCAACTTAGCCCTGCCGGCTTTTGGAAACTTCCATCTTAACAAAATTGATCCCTTAGTCATTAGGAAACCACAGGAAAAGACATCCTGGGACTCCTTAGTCTTAACAAGAATGTGCTCAATGTGGAGTTCCGTCAGCATGTCTTGACCTTCATGTTCTGTTATTCTCACTTTTTTTTTGATGTTGTGTTACTGTTGCTTTCCAGCATGGCTTCTTAGTTGCTTTTTATGCAGGATGTCTTTTGACTATGATAATGTTCTTTCTATATGTTTAGAGAGTTCGCTTTGTTCTGCAGGTTTGGGATGTGATAGAGCATTTTGTGGTGCTTACTGGAATGCTCAGGGTGTTGCTAGGAGTGATTCTCATCCAATGTGCAGTTCTGAGACTTTCAAACCAGTAAGCACTTGCCTTTCTTGGATTAAACACATTTGTTTTGCTGATTATTATTGGTATATAGGATGTAAAATTTACATATTAGGACAACAAATAGTCTCCTTGCAACAATGAAGTGAGCATATGGATGCACATTGAATGTAGATATGCAGAGGTATCGGACGAAAACATGTTGAACATGTGAGGGAATTTTCTTGCATATGCTTGTTATCCTTCATATGGCAATTGGTCTTCTAATGGCTAATATCTATTTAGAATGAAGTTCCTCAATACTGCTTTTATCTCAATGGAATATTGAAATTTGCTTGAAAATTAATTATGCACCAAGAGATAGAGAAGCTATGGACGCTAACTAGATATTGAAATTATTAAGTGGTACTAGGAACCTAATTAGCTTCCATCTGATGCTAGTCGGTGTTTGGGAATAATTTTTTCTTTTATGTGACGATTAAAGACCCAGTTCTGTACAGTAGCAAGCAGTTCATAATTCTATTTTTTGGCATGCACTATGAAATTAACTTGGACCAAGTTTCTGATAGGATATTTCATTTTAGTATATATGTTTAATGGCCTGTATATGAGTAGAAGTTGGAATTTTGAGAGAAGAAAGGGATAAAAGAAGAGGATAAGAAGGAGAACAGGAAACTATAGGATTCCATCCTAGACTTTTTATGGATTAATCACCCATGGTAAGGCTGCCTTTTTGTCAACATGACAAACACTTTTATTCCATCTCCACATGAAGCTCTGTGTGCTTGTGTGTGTGTGTGTGTGAGAGAGAGAGAGAGAGAGAGAGAGAGAGCTATGCGAGAGGAAGCAAGGCTAAATCTCTGGGGGAAGGACTTCTTAACAACTAAGTGAACTTAATGACTAGGAAATCTTACAATTCAAAGAGCAACAAGCTGAAAGTTTTGGAAGTCAAGTTGGATTTGACTGGCTGATTGGAGGCAGCAATCAAATTAACTTAAAAAGGTTGGTTTTGACCATCAGCAAATCCTAATTTCTGATACCATCTAGGTGGTCAATATTAGCTTCACCGGAATTTCTGAAGGGCTTTTCTGATCTTAAGCTTCAGAACATAGAATAACTAACAGTACATTAAGATAACCTAAAGCATATTATACCGTCTGATACACAAGGGTGCCCAAAAATTTATTCATGTTTCTGATTCCCTAACTGCTATTGTTATCCTCTTTGCATACTCCGTCAGTATGGATTAGAGTATTTCTTCCATGAGGATCTCGATGATACTCTGCTAGCTTGGTTTTAAAGTGCATTGTGAAAGGCCAACAAATTGCAGTTGTGGTTAATTAAAGTTATATGCCTTGCACAAAATAATTCCCCAAGGACAGAGACTACTCTATGTTGATGTATGAAACCTACAGACCACCCTCTTCTGCCCATGTAATTGCTTCAAACATCGAATACAACCATAAAATTAGAGAGAGAACTTAATCTTGAATGTCCTTGTAACGAATAATTCATCAACTGGTGCCAGTGATATAAGAGAGATGGTATATTCTTTTGTATGAAACTGAGGACAGGGAATAGGACTTAAGGGATGCTCTCATCAGTGACAAATGAAGTACTACATCAGCCACAGCATCCTCAAGACATGCAGTGATCTGCTGGTTTGTCAAGAGAGTTATAGATTTATGCCTTAGCGCTTAGATCAGAAAACATATGTATTTATAGAACAAAAAGCATCCTGTACTACTTTATTTCTCAATAAGAAACTGGCATCTTGTAGGACTCTAGAACGTTTAGGAACTCACCTTCTAAAATGACTCTAATCACTTACCTAATATAATAAATACCTAAAAAGACTCAAATGATGCATTCTGAAAATTTCTGGTGACAACTAAAAGGCCAGAATACTTCTTATGATCTAAATAGTGGAAACTATTAAAATTAAAGACAATAAATTAATTCTTGCTTCCAAATCTTCACGGCAGTTGAGGCTTGAGAAAAATCATGAAAATTGTTGAATGTAGATTTCCTAGAGCTCTTTCTTGACTACAGCATCATTATCCCTTGGTTGGAAAAATACTTGACCTCAAGTTTTACAGAATTGTAGGATAAAGAATCCTAAGGTCTTAAACTAACTTGAAACGAGAAGTACAGTTCCAAAAAATTTACTTGCCACTTACTTGCGGGAGTAACAAGAAAAGGTGGGACTTCATTGGCTGAATATCTGGAAAATCACCAATGCCAAAGTCAATTGTCGAGTCAAGAAATTAGAAAACATTTTTCTTAGCTTTGTTCCAATTAATGATGCAGTCAAGAAAGAGTTCTAGGAAATCTACATTCAATGATTTTCGTGATTTTCCTCAAGCCTCAAGTGCTGTGAAAATTTAGGAGCAAGAATTAGTTAAGTGTCTTTAATTTTAATAGTTTCTCTTATTTTGGCACTAAGGGGTGTTTGGGTGTATTGGTCTTTTAGTTGTTGCTAGAAAGTTCTAGAATTGCATCATTTGATTTTCTTTTTTCAGTTATTTAGTATATATTAGGTAAGTAATTTGAGTCATTGCTAGAATGTATTTGTTTGATTGTTTTAATGAGTTTGAAATTTTGTTCAAGCTTGGTTTGTTTATTGAGGCAGACTCTAATGAGCTTCTACCAAGCCGAACTTGATTCGAGTATCGAGTAGCTTCGTTTGTCTTTTAGCCCTACCAACAACGAGTTAGTTTTGTATTGAGGATGAAAGTTGGAGTTTAGAAAGTTTTTGCTCTATAAATACTTGTGTTTCTACATTACTGCTTTACAGTGAATTTGATGAATAAAGATTGAGTTTTGGTTTATTAGTTAATTTGATCTTTGAAAACTAAGATAAAGGGAGAGAAAATACTCTTCTTCATATCTTTGGACTACACAATATACATATATATATATACACAAGTGTAACTTAATTTAGATCCTAAAATCATGCTAATATAAATTAATCTACTACCTAATTAATATATGATACTATAATCATATGATACCTAATTAATACATGATACTATAATCATATCTTTCCTAATATTTACAATATCAAATCTTTCCATAATATCAGATCACATATCTTCAACACTCCCCCTCAAGCTGGAGCATAGATGTTGCTCATGCCCAGCTTGTTACAAAGATAATCAACTCGAACCCCATGTAGAGCCTTCATAAAGAGATCTCCCAATTGTTCTCCAGTCCTTACAAATCCTGTAGAAATCAAGCCCTGCTGTATTATCTCACGAACAAAATGACAATCTATTTCGATGTGTTTTGTTCGCTCATGAAATACGGGATTGGATGCAATATGAAGAGCCGCTTGGTTATCACACCACAATTTGGCAGGCATTGAGGTTTTGAGACCTACTTCAGTTAGAAGTTGATTTATCCACATGATTTCACATATCGATTGTGCCATAGCTCTATATTCTGACTCTGCACTCGATCGCGAGACAACATTCTGCTTCTTACTCTTCCATGAGACCAGGTTTCCTCCAACAAAGACACAAAATCCAGTTGTAGATCTTCGATTTGCCTTGGATCCTGCCCAATCAGCATCTGAAAAACACTCAATCCTAGTATGACCATGATTTTTATACAGAATACCATGTCCAGGAGCTCCTTTTAAATAACACAAAATTTGTTCTATAGCTGCCCAATGATTAACAGTAGTATTAGACATATATTGACTAACAACACTAACTGAATACGCAATATCTGGACGAGTCACTGTAAGATAATTCAACTTTCCAACCAATCTTCTATACCTCCTAGGATCTTCTAACAATTCACCTTCTTTTGTGAGCTGCAAGTTAGGAATCATTGGGGTACTAGCTGGTTTAGCCCCTAATTTTCCCGTTTCAGATAGTAAGTCAAGAACATATTTCCTTTGGGACAGGAATATCTCCTTCCTACTCTTTGCTACCTCAATACCCAAAAAATACTTTAACAGCCCCAAATCCTTTGTCTGAAATTGACTATGGAAAAAAGTTTTAAGAGATGAAATACCTGCAACATCATTCCCAGTGATAACAATATCATCCACATATACTACCAACAAAATAATACCAGCTTCAGACTGTTTGTAGAAAACAGAATGATCATATTTGCTTTTCTGCATCCCAAACCTTTCAACTGCTAGACTAAATTTTTCAAACCAAGCACGAGGACTTTGTTTCAGTCCATACAAGGACTTCCGAAGATGACAAACCTTCCCAGACTCTTCCTGAGCAACAAACCCTGGTGGTTGCTTCATATAAACTTCCTCTTGGAGGTCTCCATGAAAAAAGGCATTCTTGATATCTAGTTGATGCAAAGGCCAATTATGAGTGGCTGCCATAGAAATGAATAACCTGACAGATGTTAACTTAGCAACAGGGAAAAAAGTATCAGAATAATCCTCTCCATAGATTTGGGCATAGCCTTTGGCAACAAGGCGTGCTTTTAACCGAGCAACCGACCCATCAGGATTGAATTTAACTGCAAAAACCCACTTACTACCAATGGCCTTCTTTCCTGCAGGTAAATTTACTAAGTTCCAAGTATCATTACCATCTAGAGCAATCATCTCCTCTATCATAGCATTGCGCCATTCGAGATAGGATAGGGCTTCATGAACAGTTTTAGGAAGGGAGATAGAATCAATAGATGTAATAAAGGAACAAGAAGAGGTGGGTAAATGATTATAAGATACACACGAAGACACAGGATAAGTGCATTGACGCTTACCTTTGCGAAGAGCAATAGGAAGATTATCACTTGAGACAGGATCTAGTAACGAAGGAACTAGTTCAGGGCATGCATCAGGAGACTTTTGTCGTCGAGAATATACCTGAGTAATTGGAAGTTTAGCAGGGGAAGAACTTGAGGATGTGACAGTATAGATTAACAAATCATCATCTTCCTCCTGACATGAATGAGATGAGGATGGGGTAAAAGGTGTATTTTCAAGAAAAGTAACATCAACTGACACAATGTACCTGCCGAGACTAGGACAATAACATCTATATCCTTTTTGGACACGGGAATAACCAAGAAAAATACATTTCAATGATTTGGGGTCTAATTTAGTGACTTGGGGACGAGAGTCGCGGACAAAATATGTACACCCAAAGATTTTAGGTTCGATGGGAAACAAAGGTTTATTTGGAAAAAGAGTGTTATAAGGAGTCCCACCATTCAGAACAGATGAAGGCAGACGATTAATTAGAAAGCAAGCTGTGGACACTGCATCAGCCCAAAAATGTTTAGGAACATGCATTTGAAATGATAAGGCTCTTGCAGTTTTGAGCAAATGTCTATTCTTTCATTCTGCGACTCCATTTTGGGATGGTGTATCCACACAAGAGGTTTGATGAATAATGCCATTTTGCACCATATAAGATTGAAAAGGTGCGCATAAATATTCTTTGGCATTGTCACTTCGCAATATTTGTATAGAACGCTTAAATTGAGTCTTAACCTCAGCATAAAAAGCACAAAAATGAGAAAACAACTCTGACCGATTTTTCATCAAATATAACCAAGTCATACGAGAATGGTCATCGACAAAAGTAATAAAATACTTGAATTCAGTTTTAGAAATGACTGGACTAGGTTCCCAGACATCTGAATGAACTAATGTAAAAGGAGCATCCGCTTGTTTATTGACTCTAGGACTCAGATTAAGACGATGATGTTTGGCAAACTGACAAGACTCACAATCTAATAAAGACAAACTCTGAAATTGTGGACAAAGTATCTTTAACAACGGGAGAGAAGGATGACCCAGCCTACAATGTGCTTCAAATGGAGTTACAATTCCAGAACAACCTATGGACTTTGGTATCTGTGTGTCAAGAATGTAAAGACCTCCAGATTCATGCCCTTTACCAATAATCTGCTTCGTCGTAAGATCCTGAAACAAGCAATAGTCAGGAAAGAATTGGACAGAACAATTGAGGGCACGAGTAAGTTTACTCACAGAAATTAGATTAAAAGACAACTCAGGCAAATTTAAGACAGATGACAATGAGATCAATGGAGTGGGATTAACTGAGCCTAATCCAAGAACACGAGATTTTGACCCATCAGCTAAGGTAACTGTAGGTGCAGATGTGTGTGACTGAAAGGTAGAAAATAGACTAGAATTACCTGTCATATGATCTGTGGCACCAGAATCAATTACCCATTTGGAGGACGAAACAACAAGGCATGTGTTTGGTTTACCTGACTCAGCGATGGCAGTTACGGGCGTAGATGAAGACTTTAATGATTCTTGATACTGAGAAAATTTAGCAAATTCATTTGCAGAGATCATAACTGACTTTTCATAGTTAATAGCATCATTGGTAGAAGCAATATGTGCGGATTGAGTTCTCTGGTTCTTGTACTGCAATTTCTTACAATCGCGCTTCATATGACCCGGCTTATGACAACAGTGACACACAACCACTTCTGCATTCTGTCCCCGAGTGTCAATTCCTTTACCACCATCTTTGTATTGCTGTTTTCCAAGACCAACAAGAGCACTGCTGGACTGAACAGACTGGATATTCTCTGTGCGAAGTACCCTACTAAACACATCTTGCAAGGATGAGATCTCAGGACTGGAAAGAATCTGAGATTTAGCGGCTTCAAATTTAGGTGAAAGACCAGCCAAAAAACTCATAATTGCCATCTGTTCCCGTTGAGTTTGCTGAACTTTCACATCAGAACTAAACGGTAATAATAGATTAAGCTCCTCATCAGTTTTCTTAAAATCCATAAAATAAGTCATGATGGACTTGTCTTGTTTCTCTGCACGATATAAGGCTTGACACACCTCATATATGCGAGAAATATTCCCTTTACCAGAGTACAAAAATTCTAAATACTCCATTAACTCCTTAACAAATTCACAGTGATTAATTAAGCTAATTACCTCACTGTCAATAGAATTCCGTATTTGCAGGAACAATCTAGTATCTTCCCTTAGCCACGTCTGTCTTGAACCATCTTTTGGAGGATCATCAGTCAGATGATTGTCTTTATCAATGCTTCGCAGATAAAGACGAACCGTTTTGCTCCAATCAAGATAGTTAGAATTGTTGAGTTTGTGGTCCGTGATCTTAGACATCACAGGAACCACATCAGACGTAACTATAGATTTCGTTTCTGTCATGGGTTTAGAATTAACAGAAAAAAACAAAAGAGGACAGATCTGAACTCTTTAAAACAAGAGTGAAGAATAGAACACAGATATGTCCTATACAGAACCAGATGAACCGAATGATGACTAATGAATTTTCTGGCAGCGGACAAAGACCCTAACCTTGATGGTAGGGCTCTGATACCATGAAAAAACTAAGATAAAGGGAGAGAAAATACTCTTCTTCATATCTTTGGACTACACAATATACATATATATATATACACAAGTGTAACTTAATTTAGATCCTAAATTCATGCTAATATAAATCAATCTACTACCTAATTAATATATGATACTATAATCATATGATACTTAATTAATACATGATACTATAATCATATCTTTCCTAATATTTACAATATCAAATCTTTCCATAATATCAGATCACATATCTTCAACAATTTTCTCCCCAAAATTCTCTCCCTCTCGCATCGTTTCTTTCCAAATTCCCTTAAACAGGCTATGATTGCCTCATTATTCGTGATACTAGGCAAGATTCTGTCTATCTTCTCCTACATCAGAACTGGTGGCCTCTTTCCAGTTTCTAATTTGTCTTCTGTACTCTTGCATTACATCATAGGAAGAAGGACAAGTTTGTGGCCAGAAAATAAGTTCTGGACGAATGTCCAATACCCTGGCATGCTTGTTAATGGTGATCATTTGTTTCCTTAAATTTGATTGCTCATTTTGGACAGATATTGCTTGAAATTAAATGCTCTGACTTTTTAAGCTGCATGGTCTTTGTGATTTGCTCAATCCCGTAAAAAGGAATTACAAATTCTTCTTCTTGACTAATTTTTTTCTCATCTTTATTATCCAGTATTTGCAAAAAGTGTATTAAGATACGTGTCCTTTTTGCAGATCATTGAACGTACAACCACTAGATTGCCGTTTTGGGTACATGAGAAAAACCGGCATGAGCAAGATGTATGACATTTCGTTTCTTTCTTCTGTTTCCTTGTTTGCTAGGTTATATCTGGGCTTATTTATGATGTGTGGGTAGAGTGATTATTTATTTATTTATTTCCTATCAGATAACGGAGAGTTGTATCAGGCAGATGGGAAGATCATTACAGGACGTGATCTCTGAGTGGCTGACAAAGATGAACAACCGAGAAATAGGTATCCTGGAATATTATTTGAACGATGAGTGGGATGGTGGGTTATGCATTGCTGTGGTGGTTGTATTGCTATTGACATCTCTGTTTTGTGTATATCCTTCTCATGTATCATATTTTATTTGACATATTGGAAAGAATTAATTCTAAATTAGTTTCTATAATATTTTTCTGTTTGTTGAGAGAAATTATGCTCGAGTTAAAATTTCCTGAAACAATTCAAAATTATGCAATGACTGTCAATTGTTTGCAATTTTGAAGTGTTGCTTTGTATGTTTAGTTATTCAAGTCCAGTTTCCATCATTCCTTTTCACTCTTTGCATCTCTCTCTCTCTCTCTGCCCTCCTTCGCCCCCTCACCCTCCAAACAAACCAAAACTCTCTCATTTGCATAAAGTTGGAGGATTTCATCCACCTCTGCTTTGGGTTTTGTTGAAACAATAGTTTATCCAGCACAGGCAAATAAGGCTATTGAGTATGCTGGCATTCTTATTACTTGTAGAAGATGAACATATTCTCAGAGTTTACTTGAACTTTCAAGTCTAAAGTTGATTTCCCTACTAAAGAATGATGACTGTAGATAACATTTGTGTGTGTGTGGATTTCTATGGTTGTTTGCTAAGGAGGGTGGTTAAATCAGTCAAATTGATTGTCATGCTAAGGAGGCTATGATTGAAGTATACTCTTTTGTGAGACATTTTGACAATTTTAAATGTTGGGAAACTCTATAAGGCAAAGAAGACATCTGAGCTAGTTTGAGATTCCTTTTTTTTTCTTTTTAATTAACAGATCGAACAAGGATGCCGCTAAATCATGCTGAGACGATTACTTCTCAGGCGCATACTTGCGTGTGAGTTACCTCTCATTTTAGTGCTTGTTGTGAACATGCTATATGTGTTGCCTCTTGACAAAATGCTATTGTATTATTGGTTGTTTCATCTGTTTATGTTGTGATGCTTCCTGCAATGTTGGGAAGGTTAAATAATGTTGAGGAAGTGGATATGAGTCTAAACTCATTTTCTTGGAATTCTCAAATTGTCACTTCGCTCATACGTGCAAAGCACTCTTCCAGAAGATGATTAGTTTCTGCCGAGAATGAGCTTTACATTCAGATTTTGTTGTATGAATTTTTATACTTTTCTGAATTCCCAAGTGTGAAACAAGTAGTTCAAAATTTTTGACATCATCCCTGTCAACAATTAGAGATTCTGAAAGACGAAAATATCTATATGTTGTTGTTAATAATACAGGACTATGAGATCCCATACTCTAAAACAATCAACTCCCTGCCATCCTCTTGACATTGGTTAGAAATCTGCAAATACTTAATGGTGACAAATCCTGCTTAATTTCTTCATGTGTTACTTTTCATCTTATCTTTGTCAGCTATGCTTTACCATTAACATTCCACTGGCCAAATTCCTATGATATCCTGTAGATGAGATGACCATGTCTTACTGCAGATTCCCTTGAGATCTCTTTTATTTTTTTTTTGTAAATCTTTCTAGAACTCTTCCTGATGAAGAGGGTGAATTCAAGGGAAATGCTCTGCAAGCTACGTTATCCTATGACTATACCACCGTGCTGCTTAATTTTCTTGTCTCTGTTGGGTCAACTGGATTCTTGTCTTTATCATATTTCAGAGACAGTCATGTTTTCACAATTAGATGCCATTTCTGGAAAATGCTGAAATTGCTATGCTATTTTATTGATGTGTGCATATCACATCCTGCCCAGCAGTCTGAGTCTGAGACAAGCACTTTTTTGGTGTTTAAAGGTAGAAAAAAAAGTTGATGTCCTCTTACTTTGTCAAAAAAGGTTCATTAATAACTTAGAAATGCGAATTCAAGCTTTTTGGTAGCTTTTCAGATAAAATTTCATGGTGTTGTAAGTTTTTAATGTGTAGTCTTTTGCTATTAAATCTCTTAATTCTTTCTCAGCACAAATATTCAACCATTGCTCCCTTAATAGCTGATGTTCTCCCATGGTTAAGTTGAATTTTATTCTACCTGTGTGTATCTTGCATCAGCATACTTTGGTGAGTATAAAGAAGTTAAGAACAGAAGTGTTTCTTGGTATCATAGAATTGTTTGTTTTTCAGTGAAGCTTTTAAAGACACCCTTTTCTTTTTTCCTGTACTTTACCTTTTGAGCTGTGTGAATCGATATTTGGCATTTCTTAAGGTAGCATTACTGGCCTGTCTCCTTGTATTGTTACTCATGCAGTATTTAAGGTTCAATCTAGTCAATGTGCACTTATCCTGCAGTTAGTGAAATGGAGTTTTCAAAAGCAAGTAGAAATCAGGGGGAAAATGGACAAAGATTTTCTTCTTTGATGTTTATTTGCATGTCCTCTTTATTCCTAAACCTGCTGTCTGTATAAACTGCTACTCCTTTTCATTCCTCAGTTACTGAGTCCGTGATAATATGGGAGTAAATTCCCCAAAGTTGGGAATTTTAAAACAATTCTCAAAAGGTGGTGTTTTTGAAACCCTTTCCAAAGGTGAAAAACGCATGTAGTAAATGCAATGTTTCCTGAAAAGGCGCATCCACAAAATGTGCTTTTCTATTTGTCTAGGTATCTACTTAAGATACACATTCACTGAATGCATTGTTCTAGGATTTTCACTATTCGGGAACTCTTTTTGAAAACAACCGCTGTTTGGGATTTTACTCAGTTAGATGTGCAAAACAACAATATAGGAAGAAGATTTGAATGTTGCCAAATGGTAATCAGAAATTTCTACAAAAGATGTTGCATGCTGGCCAGAGGAAAAAAGTTTCTTTATTAGATGACATTGATTCCATGTACTGTGAGTCTGAAAGTTGAGAAGCAATGAAGATTACTACTTGTAACAAATTTAATTCAAGTATTGTAGATTGTTTTGAAGTAAAAACCACAGCTTTGGCTGTTTAATTTCTTATTTATTTATTTTTTGTGCATTAGATATTGAAGATTTAATTTGTGTTTTTGTTTTGGCATTTTAATGTTGATCTTTCCCTGATGACAGTTATCATTTGTAATTAATCTGTATATATGTCTCAATAACCTTTACTTTTACCGCGATAGACCATGTCATTCCACCTCTTTACTCTCAGATGAACAATTGAATAGCGCCAAGCATGAGTAACATACATCCCTAAAGGACTTTTGCTGTGTTCTGCATGTTGATTGTTGTTTTGTTTTTTCGGTCGATATCACCTTGGATTTCAAAGAAATCAGATACTAACAACAAGCTAATGGGAACCATGAAAGATATGTTTACCAATTTTATTAGTTCCCACAACTGTAGTATTTGATTCACTTTTTCAATTTGTTAATTGGCAGTCATGAACCTCTCAGAGTTTACACTTATAATGATTTAGTAATCACTGAAGTCTTTTGCAATACTTGTAAATGCGTACAGTTGGAATTCAGCTTCATCTTTATGAAATCAGGAATGGAATTTTGTGTCTCTGTGTCAATTTTTTTATAGCTTTATGTTTTAGAAGGTACTTGAATGCATTTTACATGCACAACAATCAATGTTTGTGTAATTGAAGCCACAACCATAGGAAGTTTGAAAAGTTTTTTGAGGATATATTGACTCTTGATTTGCTTTTCTACCAAGCTTTTTATTTTGATATTACATTCTTAAGAAAATGTGTTTGTTTTGAAGCTTTAGAAAGTGATGTCCTGTTTTTATGTTTGTTGCCATCATTCTGTTAACCAGCATATACTTGGGAGTTGACCTGAATTCCTCACTACATTATGAAATGTACATAATTTTGGAAATCAGCTTGTCAAAGAAGGATCCTGTTTAATACTTCGACATGTTCTACCTTTTATTGCACTTCTGTCCTGCAGTGCTCCAGCAAAACTAAATATTCCCTTTCTTTTTTATGTTTTTGTGTAAAATGTTCCTCACGTGTGACTTGCTGTATTGCTATGCAGTGATTGCTATGACAAATTAGTCTCGTTCCTGCTGTACTGGTTTCGGATCACAATGCCAAAACATGTGAGTTGTTTATTCTAAGCCGTTGTAATTGGTCTTCTCATCTTTTTAATTAGTTTTCCACTGTTTGCTTGTTTATTCATTGTTTTGCTGAAATGTTGTCCAGAACTAAAATATTGTTAATTTTCTTGTATTTTGCATGAATTAGCTATATGGTTTTTTAACATCCTTCCTCTGGACATTAGCATTAAAGGTGGAAAACTATGGTCGAGTAAATTCCCAAGAAGTGGGATTTTCTAAAATCACTTCTCAAAAGGTGGCGTTTTTTAAACCTCTTCCCAGAGGGTGAAAAACACATTTAAATGCGTTGTATCCTCAAAATACACATTCACAGAATGCATTCTTTTATTTATCTAGGCAATTTTTTCCCTTAAAAATGCATTCACTAATTGCATTGTTTGAAAAGACGCATTCAATGAATGTGTTGTCTCAGAACTCTCACTCTTTGACAACTTGTTTTGAAAAATATCACTATTTGGAAATTTACTCTGTTCCTTATTAATAATTTTCCATTTAGTTTTTTAAGTGGCTAGTAGTGTTATGAGGTTTTCAAGAGCATAGAAAGGTTTCTAACTTATCATTGAGTTAATAGTTATCAAGATATACTGTGTATTATTTGATTGCATCCCTCAAAGCCTAATTACTTTGATTAGACTCAGAATAACTGAATCAGAATATTTGTCCTGGTGGCGAGGGAAGGGCTCCTAAATTCCTCTCCACTAACAGGTCCAGGGCTCAAATCCTGGGCTTGGCAATTGGGGGTGGGGGGAAAGGAATGAAGGGGAAAAAGGAAAGACTGAATATGAGTATTTGCATTGTAACATTTAATGAGGCCATTTCACGATGAGCTCACTCCTTGAGTTCTATACTTGCTGGAATTTTGCAGTTAATAAAAGAAAAGCAAAACTAAAGAAAACATAAAGTAGCATTTTATCCTGGTTGGCTTTCTAATCTTTGAATAATAATTTGGAAAAACATCTTTCAAGTGAAAAATGTGGTCCTGCAGTTGTTCTTGGAACACACTGACACGGTCAAGAGGGTATATAAAAGTGAAAGAAACATTGGCAATCTTCAGCTACATAATGGAATTTTTATCTTCACAGAGGTGTACAACCTCCCTCTCTTCAAGAATGGTCCTGGATTGCTCTCCAAGTTGACTTCTCAAAACAGCATCAGAGCCTGGAAAGGCAACCAAAACAGTGGAAAATCAAACCCAAGTAAACCCAGATTGAGAATAAACCAATCTCAACTTTAAAACGTGAACTTTGTGACTCCAGAAACAAATTATTCGGACATTTTTATATGAAAGAATTTATCTGCTGAAATGCCTTTCAAATTCCTCTGTCCATAATTTTTGTGAGTTGGGTTTCTGTGTCTGAGAGACAAAAAGGTAAGAGTAAAAGACGAAGCACGAGAGATAGAGGTACACTTCTCTGACTCTATGTGAAATGTGAAAAAATCAAAGAGATCAATTTTACACCACCGACTTTCTGTAGGAGAAAGCCAAGTCTGAATATTCAAAGAATCCAGTTCTAACTGGAAAAAGTTATCTGATTAGAGTCTTTCTTTTCCTTCTTAACAAGTTCTCTTATCCTTTTCTCAATGGGGCTGCAGCTGCAGAGGGGGAGGTAGGGGTTGGGGGAACGTATGAGTTTTTTGTTTTCAAGTTACTAAAGTTTCAAATTACAAAAGTTTGGCCTGAAGGTTTCACTACATGATTCAGTTTTAATTCTTTCAATAGAATTGATAACTGGCTGTCATTTGGATTCATATTTAAAAAAAAAAAAAAAAAAAAAAACTCTAAACTTACTGGCCCAAGGAAGTGGAATTTGTTTACTTATGGAATCTGTTTCGGTTTTGTGAAATGGTTTCCATGTCTGACCTCCCAGTGTGATGGTTTGTTTCATATATTTTGTTTCCACTGCTTGTTGAATCCCCTGTTCATATATTTTCTTTTCCTGTTTTATGCCTTTTCAGTCATTTTAAGATTGTCATAGTTCCAAATGTACAAGCCTTTTTTTTTTTTTTTTTTTTTTTCAAACTTCAAATTCTTTGCCCTTTTGAGATAATTAATCATGAACATCTACATTTCAGATCCACTCCTCTAGACGTAGTCACTAATACTGAAATTGCATGAATCTGTTCCACTTTTGTATATCTTTTGTAGTTTCTATCCCCAGAAGCTTCTCAAAGGGAGGACTGCTGGTACGGCTATGCATGTAGGACGCAGCATCACAATGAAGAGCACGCTCGCAAGAGAAATCATGTCTGCCGTCCAACAAGGGGCAGTCACAGATGAATATGTCATGTTTCAAACTCTACTTCATGTTTTGCCATCTTAGACGCTAGAAATGTATATATTACAATGTTTTGCTGCTTCTTTTTCTTTCTCGACCTGTTATTGCCATATTTATGATTCATTTGTAGCAGTTATTCGCAAGGCTTAAGAGAAAATAAGCAAAAATAGCTGTTGAAACCTGGGTTTTTTTTTTTTTTTAACATGTGGCAAACCCCGTTTATGGGGGACAGATGCTAGTCCTATATTTTATTAATATTAAATTGTAAAAAGATTAGGAGGGGCACATCAACCTTATCTCTAGTACAAGAGAAAAACGGTAAAAAAGGAATAGTACTCCCATAACAATGAATTAGCGCAAATAAAGAAAAGGACTATAGCATGCAATTGAGGAGGAGGCTGAACGCGAGAATTGAGTTTTTGAGCGTCTTGAGCTCGAAGCTGTAACAAATGAATTAGAACCTTTGAATTAACTTCCCACAAACATTGCTAATGCCATGAGATACGCATTTTAAGACCTTCCAATAGAGCCATTGCTCTTCCGTAGCCATGTAACCAAACCGAACCATTCGACCTTGCCTTGCTGTCGAACCAATCCAGCCCCCGTAGCCATGCCATTGGAATTTCACCCAACTTGGAAACGGAGGTATCCACAAAACAGCTTTACAAATAACTTTGCGAGGAGGTTTCGACTGTCAAAAAACTGTCAATAGAGTAGCAAATTGCAGCAACTGAAGTTTGACAGCCTTGGCACCTGATGGACACCGTGCACGCCTTACAAACCATACTATAAGCAATGGAAACAAGCATCTATTATATGGATTTCACGGGGATCTATCCTCGGATAAATTGTGTGCAGGGATGTGATTGCAATTTTATTTAAACGTGGTGCAATTTTATTTATATGACTACTCCAACCTTTGCTGAAATTTCCAAGCTTCCATGATGGATTCAAGATGGAGTTAGGCACATCTATCAAAATAATCCTACTTATGGTCCCAAGGATATATTAATGCTCAAAATTATTGCAGCTGGACCAGATTTTGAAGACTCAAATAGATATGATGCTTTTTCTCATATTAAAGTCATGAAATATGATGACTTGGAGATAAAGTATACCCTCTACGGAAGGAGTATGAATATTTTTCGAAAGAAAAAATACATTATCGAAGAGCACTTGGGTTGAGAATTGTTTTGCAAAATCTAGAAAATACACCCAAGCAAGGATTTCGTACATACAGAGGAAATGGAGCATTTTCTTCTATAATGACTACATATGCTAGAAAGACCCCAGAAGCAGCTATAAATTATTTAAATTGGAAAATACGCTTATTGGAGAGGAAATGGAGCATTTTCTTCTATAATGACTACATATGCTGGAAAGACCCCAGAAGCAGCTATAAATTATTTAAATTGGAAAATATGTTTATTGGAAAGCAGCAGAATAAAATCCAGCAATAAAGCTATCAAAACTTTGTGCAGGATGAGGAAGCATAAAAATAACACGTGTCCAACATGTACTAAAATAGAAGATAAGGACACGGCATCAAGCAATCAGAGTATGGAATAAGACGTAAGCACTTACATCACACTCCCGGAATCCAAAGTATATTGTTCAAGTCCGCAGAATTGAAGAAAGAAGGAGTCCGTGGAAAAATCAATTCACATCCAACATTGAAGTCCGCCAAACATTTATAAATATGCAGACGCCATATGAAGGAAGAGAGAGGGACTTAGAGTTGAAATTAGTGTTAGTAAGGAAAAATTGAGAAAAGCACTAGAGTTCTACTACCGATGGTCTTAAAATTTTCTCTCATGTATAAGAAATAAAGGGAGAGAGAGAGTAGTGTGCTAGGCTATCATCTTGTACCTAACTTTCTTCATTATAAGAGAAACAAGTTTCTTCACATCTTTTCATATTTACATCTGAGTACGCTTAGAGGTAGGAAACGAAACTAAGCTGTGCTGTAAAACTCTGAAGCGGCCCTTAAAGGAAGTCACCCCAGTGGTTGGAGGCTGCAACGCCCAAGTAAGAAGTCCTCAGGGAGGTAGCCGGAGTTTTTGCGGTCGAAAATCAGATCTAAGGTATGGAAGCGTGTTGGACGCATTTCTTTTGTTAATAAGAAATTGTTAAGTCTTGATATGGTTTGCACTCTATTCTCTTATCAAAAAACTTTATGGAAAATATGTCTAATCTTTTTTGTCGCGCCCCATTTTTTGATAAATAAATAAATGGATTTGAAGAATTGTGTTTTGATTTGAAAAAAATGAATTTTTGATTTGAAAGAAAAGTGGGCCTCAATGGGATTTTGAGAATGCGACGATTTGACCCAAAATTATAGTTTAAAAAGGGTTTTTAAAACTAAATACGGAGTCGCCACTTGGTAATGAGTTAAGGTGTACCAAGTTACCTAAAAAATGTATTTTTAAAGAAAAATAGGAAAAAGTAGTGAGAAACCCTTTTTAAACGACTCCTAATCTACGTAAACCAATGAAAAAGGTTCGGGAGTCACATTTGACAAAGGGGAAGGCAAGGATAAAATCCAAGGCACCCCTTTGACCTAGCCAATGCTAGTTGCATGATTTAATCAAAAATTTTCTTGTTTTAACCAAAGAATTTATTACATTTGGATGCACTACATGAATGCAAAAAGAAGGAAAAAATGCAAACCTAAATTCTAAAATGTCTCTTGTAAGGTTTTTGGTCCCAACCACATGAATTGGGGCGGCCAATAAAGGAAAACCTTATAGAGGTCGATTAATGCAAATGATGGCTAAAGTGCAAGTGTGCAAGTGTATAAAAAGGTGAACGTGTGAAATTGTATGAAAAATCCAAGTGTTTGTGTGCAAGTGTATGAAAAGGTGCATGTGTGAAATTGTATGAAAAATCCAAGTGTTTGTGTGCAAGTGTATGAAATATAGTGATAAGTGCATATAGGTGTAATTAAGTGCAATTTTGTGAAGTAGAAACCAAAATTGAACAATAAGGAAAGGAAAAGTAATGAGGAAATGTGAATTGAAAAAGTGATTAAGTGAAAAATTGAGAATGAATGAATCTAAAGGAATGCATCAGGTCGGGTATGGGAATGACTCTTAACTTTTTCGACTTCGATTTTCCCTTTGATTTGAAGGCAAAACTAGCGTGCTAAGGCTATCGAGTAGCCACACTCGCTCGTTTCCCTTATCGGAGGGGACACTCAAGCAAAATGAACCCTATAGCTAGTATGGGATGCAAAACCTAAAATGAGGGGAAAAGGGGTTCGAGGATCATGCCAAATGATAAAACTAAGGAAAATGCGTGATATGTGATGAACAAGTAAATGATGTGCGAATGAAAAGGAAATGGACCTATTGGGTCTAGCGTTGGACTAGCCCTTTCTATGAATTTCTACTAGCATTGGACTAGTGGAAACGGAACAATGAACCACAACTAGCGTTGGACTAGTGTGGTGACGGGAAAGGGGGCCACAACTAGCATTGGACTAGTGTGGTTACGTCCATTCATCCATCACATTCATTCATGACTATAAAAAGCGAGTAGACATGCGAAACACTCATAAACACATAGCACATAACATTTAGCATGCTCGACTAAATGCAAGGCCCTAACAAAGCAAATTGACACTTAACACGTAGGCATGCAACCAAACTAATGAACCTATTACATTCACTAACTAAAAAAAAGGGGAAAAGGAAAAATGGATCAAATTGCTCGCCACAGCCCTATCTATTACAAGCCAAGAGGTGTACACATACCCCATTTAAAAGAATAATTTAATAAAAGCAAGAATGAATGAAATAATGGAACTAAAGAATGGTAATGAAAGCAAATTAGGCATGCGATTCACACTTAGCACATTGGATCACATAGGAGAGACAAAAGGAATAAAAGAAATTATACCTCCCTTGAAATGAAACTCTAATGGAGTGAAATCAACTTATTTACCCTCCAAAATAATAAAGGAGTCAATGTGCCAATTTATTTGACAAATAATCACAAAGGATAAAAATAAACATGAATTTGAATCAATTAAATCATGTCAACAACCCACATTTAAGAAGTCAAGAGAAGAAAGGACTTGATTGCAAAGATTGGCAAAAATTTTGGGGCCAAAATTAAAGAAAAATAAAGTTCAGGGACTCATTTGCAATTGAACCAGGGACTCAATTGAAAGGAATGGAAATGTCAAGGGCCACAGTACAGTTATGGAAAAATGCAGGGGCTGATTTGCAAAATAATTTTCTGGTTTCTTAATGGACCAAACCATTGGGCCATTTTTCCTTATTTACTTGGGCCAAAACCTTCCAGGCCCAATCGGAAATCCAAAACAAAAGGGAATGGGCCATTTTCACTTTTCTTGGGCCAAGATCACTTGGCCCAATCGGAAGTCCAAGGAAAAACAAATGGGCTAGTATATTATTTTGGCCCAAAAAAAAAGCCAACCAAATAGATGGGCCTTGACCCTCTAGCCCAAACACTTATTTCATCAAATCCAACATGGTAAAATTAAATTATATTAAACCACAATTATGACCTAAAACAAGAATTAATTTATCCCAAAAGAGTCACATAAAATAAGCAAACATAGAATTAAGCTCAAGAAAGGCAAAATGGATTTGATTTTTCCTAATTTTGAGGCCACGGTGAACAAGGTGGGAACCTGGGGTGTTCAAATACAACAAAATAGGGATATAAATGAACAAGATTTGGAAGTTACGCAGGCTTTAATGTGGTTTCACCAAAGGACTAGGGCCAATTGCAAAATTTTCAGAAACTTATTCATTCAGGCTTCACTGAAGCTTTCTTCTTCTTATGCAAATGAACGTGAAAACGTTTGGCTTCTTCCCCCTTCCCAACTGGTGGAACGCACAGGTTCTGCCCAGCTTTGGGCTGGCCAGATTTCCTTTTGGACATAAACAGAAAACGCACAAGCTTGATTCTTTTGGTTTGAAATTTCGTTTGGGCATTTCATCAAACAGTGAATGGGCATTAAAATTTTCTCGGTTCTTTGCTCCATCGGTGTTATAATCAGCCCAAAATTATCAACAACAAAAAGATTCTAGCTCAATCAGTCATACAAAGCATGGGTATTCAAAGAAACATGAACAATCAGCATAAAATTGAAACAAAAAATGCTCATAGCAAAACACGATAGACATGCTCTAAAAGCTTCAGAGCTTATGCTTAAATGAAGACTGAATTATAAACGGAGTAATTACCTTACAGTGGCCTCTCACGGTGGCAATTCACGGATGGCAGCGGCGGATTCCGGCGATGGCAGCTCCGGGTTGCAGTGGTTCCTTCAATTTTGGTTTTCTTGATTTCTTCAACTTCGGCCTGTTCCTCTGCCTTTTCCTTTTCATCCGCCAACTATTTTGTCATCAGCCGTCCCTTGTTTTTTCTTGCCGTAGGCTTTTCTTTTTCTTCTGCCTTTTCCTTGCAGCTTGGCTATGTTTTTCTCAGCTTCCTTCCTCAGCTCACCGCCTTCGCTTGCCCCCCTCCGGTTTCTTTTTTTTGCTTCTGTTCTGTTTTTCCCTTTTTGTCCGCCACCCAAAACCCCCCCTTTTCCAAAACTTCGTAGCCGCCCCCTTGTTTCTCCCCCTTTTCCTCTGTTTTGCTCTGTCCTTGTTTTAGTTGCCTCCCCTTCAGCCCGTGCCTCCGTTTTCTTTTTCCAAAAAATCTTAAAACCTCCCAAGTGTCTCTCCCTTGCCACCTAAGTGATGTGTTGTTAAAAAACAAGAAGGGACACTTGTCCCACATGCAAATTTTCACTTGTCAATTTTTCTTTTCTTTTTTCTTTTTCCTTTTTTTTTTTGAAATTTAATATGAAGACCAAAAAAATAAAATAAAATAAAATAAAAAAATAAAAATAAAAATAAAAACCCTAAAATTGAAACAAATCAAGTTATTAAATTAATTGAACAAATAAAGTTAAAAAAAAATCAAAAATTTGGTGTCTACATTTTTAGTACTTTATCAATAAATATTATGCATCTTGAATACAATTTAGAAATAAAAATATCTTTTGAATCAAGAACAGTAAATATAAATATTGTGTTAGCCAACCCAAGCTTAAATTATGTTTCCGCAAATTTGGGCACCGAAATGCTCTGTCGAAGCCGTCGGAGTAGAGTGAAACCAGTACACAATCAAAGATTAAAAACAGGAGTGAGGCTGAAAAGGAATACCAAAAGCTGCACTATAAGCCCTCCAAAAAACGGTGATAACATTTTTGAATCCTTGCTCGTAAAGCCTCGGTTGCTAGTCCTTTTTTCTTTGTTTTTAATTTTTATGGAGAGAAACTATGCATTAGCAGTTAACTTGGTGTAATGCAGCCTTCATCTTAGATATTAATCTTCTTTCACAATCATTATAAAGTTGGTGTTTTTACGCTAGCTAGTTTGGATGCTTGACGTAAAAGTTCGATTTAAGTTTTCAATTATCTTTGTTTACATGGCTTGCAATTCTAGTTTGGATGTGTTAAAAAAATCTTGGATTAAACTCAAATACCTGGCCTGAGGTTGGAGGTATATTTTAAGAAATAAATATCACAAACTTCTCCACATATTTTTGCCACTACCACTTAGTACCCTTGAACTTCTTAAATCTGACCTATTTCACCCAATTCAACGTTTTTTTTTAAATCATATTCAGCTCATAAGACAACATATTTCCATTCTAAAGTTGCTCTTTATGTTCTTTTACTTGCTAATTCAGGGCTGCAAAGATACACCTGCAAATGTCCCACCACATTCTTGATTCCTAGAACCACCACATTCTTGATTCCTAGAAGTAGGGATGTACGCGAGTCGAGCTACTCGCGAGTAGCTCGGTCAACGACTCGGCTCGAACTCGGGTTGACCGAGTTCGAGCCGATTTTCGAGTAGCTCGAATGAAAATCGAGTCGAGTTTCGAGTCCAAATAGCCCAGCTCGAGTCGAGTCGAGTAGCTCGACGAGCTGGAGTTATTTAAATAATATATTTATAATTAAATAATATATATGTATTATAATTATAAAATGACCATTATGGGTATAAGTTATATGAAATTTATAATATATCCTTCTTTATAATAAAATCCTATAATGGCAAAAAAGTAATAACATAATTGTAAAAAGACCTAAAATGAAAAAAATTTTCGAGCCTCGAGTATCGAGTCAAGCCTCGAGCCTAAAGGAAATTTTTCGAGTCGAGTCTCGAGTATCGATTTTTTGGGCTCGAGCTTTGGTGTATATGAGTCGAGTCGAGCTCGAGTATAGCAATACTCGAGTTCGACTCGGCTCGATTACACCCCTACCTAGAAGTACACATCAACGTAAGAGAAGAAATTCCCTTAAACGCTTTGGCTTACAGATTTCCCTTTCTTAAGACTTGGCATTGTGCATTAAGTCTCGTATAGAAAATTTCGGGTTGTGGGCTTGCTCTGGCGAGCCATCAATGGAAGACCACTAGAGTAGAAAAAAAAGAAGTTAAAAGAGTATTTACAGAGGCTACAACCAAGGAAACAGCTCAGTTCTCGCGCATTGCAAACAAGGGAAGAGCTCACTGTTTTAAGGTAAACAAGAAAATTCGGTGATCTTAATATGCAATTATGGACAAAGATCAAATTCCTTGCCGCCAAAGCAATTTTTTTTTTTTACTAAATATCAAAATTACCCTGCTCAAGTCAAATTGGTACCATTTGCAATTGTAAAATGACTTGACCAGGGTAATCTATTTATTTTAGGCAATAAAAGCTCTGGCATTAGAAGTAGAATTCTGGCAATATCATTTGTCATTCAGCAAGGCTGCGTGTGCTGAAGCCCTCTGCAAAACTGCGAAGAATGTGAAATAATTAGACAGTGCCTTTTTTTAACTGAGTTTCTATCGTTGGCTCCGAAAAATTTGAGTCCAACTTGCACTATCACGGTTAAAGATTCCAAACAATATCAGACAATTTACACTACTGTCATTGCTAGAGTAAAGAACCAAACCATGAGAGATCTCCACAAAGGAAGGCCTCACAAGAGTCTGCCTCGTTGTCCTGCCTCAAATAGATTACAGAGTGAATAGGAACTGAAAGAAAAACATATCTGATGAATTCATCCAGCCCAAAACTCAAACTTTGCACAAAACTCATCTATGGAAGTGTTACTGCTGGCGAGTCCTCATAACCAGTGATGCCCATTATCCTTATCCGTGTAATTGGCTGTACACATTAGAACATTGCATTGTCAATAGAGATTTTTCAAGACGAGTTTTAACCTTATGAAAACTTAATTGACCATTCCAATTTTTACTTGTGCATTAGCCACGCTCGCCACAACCCTTTTCAAAATAAAAAGAAACTTGTACCAAATTTATGAACTCCCATATATTTTAAACACTTGAAAGCATTTGTCCTAGATAATGAATTGAATTTCTTGCAATCAACATCTTACCATATTCACCATCATAAAAATCATCATACCTGTCGGTGACCAATATTCCTGCGGTAATTCTTCTTCTTCTTATACTTGAAAACAATGACCTTCTTATCCAGTAGCTGCATGAAAAGGAAGATTAATTAGCTAAAAACTGCTATGAAAGAGAAGAGGACAAAATGCAGTACCTGCTCTTCCACAACAGCATGAACTGCTGCATTAGGCACCACTGGTTTTCCTATGTAAGTGCTTGTTTTAGTTCCAACCAGCAAAACTTTATTCAGAATTATCTGCAAAAAAAAAAGGTCAGGATAAAACTAGTTAGTTCAACCAAAGAACAATTAGATATTAGAACAAAAATTGGAAAAATCTAGGGCATCTGAATTAAGCTACTCTGCAAATCTACTAAGGTAACATAGAAAGAAGAAAAAGCAAAACTTAAAAAAATAAATAAATAGAAGAAATTTCAGATAGAAAATGAAAAAGGAAGCCTAATGACAGGCCAAAATGTCTTGATTGTAAAAAAAGGAAGCTTAATGCAAGACCAAAATATCTTGATCATATGCACAGTCTGCAATCCCCATGTTTTCTCAGTACCAGATTAGTACAACCTGGACCATTTAATGCTTAAGTGATAAAGCTGTATCCATGTAGCTTAGTCAACATGAAGTTCAGTATAACGTGTAACACATGGATGACCAACAGAAAAATAATGGTGACAGAAAGTAGTTATCAAGGAGAGACTTTGAGACTTGTAAGTGCAAGCCAAAAACAACAGGAAGAAAAAGGAAAACATTGTTGATCTGCAAAAGTTGAAAGGCAAATAGTTACTTGGAAGCCAACTCCACATGAAACTCAAAAAGGAAAACAATATGTACTAATCAAGCCTAAAACCAAGTTTGGATTATTGAGAGACATTCACAGTTCCTTGCTTAAGTTGATCTCAGTTTTGATGAAGGTGCTACGGAAAAATACATAATCCGAACTAAAATAGCAGATCGTGGCAGCGAAGCTTAACATGGCAGCACTCAAAAATATTTATGCTATTCACAACCACAATAGCTTATGGATTTAAATTTTCTTCACAAATATGTGGAGGTACTATCACTTGGGCAAATAATACTTCCCAATCAAAGAAAACATGACCAAAGTCTGAATTGTGAATTCCATTTACAACCTGTATGTATTCATTCAAATCAGTCTGGAATATTAAAACAAAAATCAATTGCAAATCACCATGTCTCAATTTCATAATCTGAGTCTTAAATGCTTGATTTAGAAATGGTTCTAAAGACTGAAATGGCTTGTGACTCCCTTCTCAACCTGATGAGTCAAATTACTGGATGGTTTCTCATCTGCAACACATAATTGGAAAATATTAGGACTTCTTAGGTAAGGGTCTTAGCATGCTCAATTTGTTACCCAATATTAAGCACATTTCTGAAGTTCCAAAATACAAAAAACATTGCGCTGATTTAAAAGTTTCTGGTAATGAAGTCCTAGGCTAGCCTCAGATTTAATTAAATTTAGTTGTGCTGATTCATCCACAGTATTACCAATACATCTGCTTTTGCAACCAGCAAAAGTAAGGCAAGACGATCATAAAGGTTTCCACTTATTATTGTTAAAAATGTATAATAGTTCGGTGCAAAAAGTAAAGCACATCAAACCATTGCTACCAAATTCTGACAGAGAACAGTGCATTGCAGGAGGACTCCATGACCAAAGATCTTGGCATAGATAAATGTGCTAGGCTAGTTGTTAGTGCAGAAGGAAAATGCAGATAATTTGGTGCAAAAGTCTTCTCATGTCAATAACAAGGAAAAGAAACTTTGGTTTGAGCAAGGGATTGCAGAATGTGAGTTACATGCCTAAAACTCTCTAAACTCTATTTTCTATTAACAAATACAGTAGAACTTTATAGATAACACAGTAAAGGTGATCCATGGTCCCATAGATTTGATTGCATCTACACTTTTCTAATGTTCTAAAAAATCAGCTTCCCACAAGACTCCAATTAGGAGAAGGAAATAAGTAAAAAGATATATGTTACAAGAGGGCATATAGTTTGTAAAAGTCCATGGAGAAAGTAGGACATGATTTTCTTTGATTTGCACTTTAACAATGGGAAAAAAAAATCCATAATCATTTGCCAGATTGAGTCACGTTTCTTAATAATGCATTTAAATTGACTATTTAGAGCAATTTGATGTCAAATAAAAGAAAATGCTTTCCCAATTAGAGCAATGCACATTTCCTATTGAGGTAGCAATGAACCAAGTATACACAATAGCGTAGATTGGAAAATCACTGTGGACTGAGTCTGCTTAAAATGTGTGTATGTCTCTCTTGCATTATTATTGAAATAATTCATAATCCAGTTTTGAATTCTAGGAAAATCTCCTCGTAATCTCAGATAATGGATAAGCCTTAAAGGACTCCTCAAATTTGGCAACAACAAATGCAGATGATTTACAATTGAAAGAAAACTCACTAAAATGTCAAAAATGCACTTGCACATACCCAAGTTAAAATTATAGGTGGTGCATCTATTTATCCTTGAGTTTAGAACATAGAAGCATACACTGAATTTGACAATTATAATACGCAAACACAGTATAAAATAGTGAAAACAGAATAAAAAGAAACATAAGCATTACACCTAGAGCTCGCTAGGAATCATTGAGTAAAATAACAAACCAGTCTGTTTATAGTATTCTGTACATTATGGTTTTTGACCATATTGAAAAAAGTTCTTGGGCTTTAGAGTTAAAAAACTTTGGTCCAGTGGACTTATTTCCGCATGCGGATTGATAAACGAAACACATCTTTTGATCTCCTGTACTAGATATGCTTTCTGGAAATTCAAGTTACACAAAATTAAAGCAGAAACAAGAAACAGATAAGTAATCAAGCCACAATGATATTGGCCAGATATAAAACCACATTATACAAGAACTTTAAGTTTCAACATGAATGTTAGGATGGCCAAAAGCTCAAAACTTACATACCACCACAAAAACTATGAGAGAGAATTCTGATCATCCAAGTATATCTTACTGAATGTAAACCAGATTAATTGTTACAAAATCTTGTGTAACAAAAACTATCAGCAACTAGCCTCAAAATTTTAAATTTGTTAAGTCTATGGATCATTTATCCCATAAGCAGCTCTTAAATTCCTCCCCATGTCCCCTCTGTTAAGTGTTGCCTGAATCTTTTTCTTCTGCATCTTTGTGATGGCAAAGGAGGGACTGATGGAACAAGAAAGTAGTGAACAAATTTCTTAATCACCACAAAATGATATACCAAGCATGTAGATACTGGTTATACAATTTACTTCAACAAACCAAATACATAGACACTCTACAATAACGGGGTCAAGAACAAGTTATCCGACTGCAAAAAACAAAAAAAATATATAAAATAAAAAATGACAAGCCAAATCCTTACTTTGTCATTCTCTTTTGCACCTTTAAGCCTTTGAGTGTAGATATATCGGCCGGGGATAACAATGTACTGCCGTGATCCAATCTAAACAAGGACAAAGTAAAAAATCAACATCACAAAGAGAAGAGTGAGAGTGTAACCCAGGATGGCCACAAATAGCAATATTTAGAGTTCAAATAATCATTTATGCACTACAGCCAATCCATCAAGCTAGACCATATGAGTTTGTGAATTTGTACTGAGAATGTGAAAATAATTTTTTGGGATCTGATATTCATTGAAATCTGTATAACCATGTGAAACTGGACAATGCCATATGTATCGCAGTGTGAGCCTCAGGAGCAATTATAAACAACGTAAATGCCAAAGTCTACCAGTTTACACAAACAAGCCAAGAACACAACAGAAAACAAGAAAATGGGGGAAAAAAAGCATTCAATTTTAGCAATTCTAGCAATCTATATCCTCAAATGAAGAATTTAACAGATACCATCACACCAAAAAAATTAATAACAAAGGCGGATAAGTCACATTATTATTCACTGACATTGTACATTTTGCTCAATATCTAGTACCATGTTCTGCTTTTACAATTTCCGCCCCACCCACCCCACCGATCAAAACAACCAAAGAACCCAATGCATCATAAAATTGAAGTAAAATTTCATCTGGGATCATCAAAAAATCTCTCCAGAAAGGACAACCAAAAAGAATTCTAATCAAGCATGATGAAAAGAATATAATGGATATTAGTGGGACCTCACCATAACAACGGCAAACACTTCTTCCTTTTTGGGTTGTTGCTGAACTGGGCTTTCAACAATTTCAGTTTCAGGTGGTTCAGTTAAAGAAGGTGCTGCTGCCTCAGTCTCGGAGTATTTGGGAACAAAGGAAGAGGATGGGGTGCCCCTTTTAGAACAAGGTGTGGTGAGTCTGAGGGATGATAGAGAGTGACAGAGGAAAGCAACAGTTTGGGACTGAGAAAGGGGCATTGACGGGGTTGTTGAGGATAGTGCCGGAGCTGCTGCTGATTTTGCTGCAAGAGACGAAGCACAAAGGGAAAGAGTCGCCATTCTCAGTTGGGAGAGAGTTTTGGGCAGCTTTCTTTCTCCCTCTCTTGGTTGGGTTTTGTTCTGAGTGTTTTCTATGACTAGTTCGTTTCTTATCCTATCCGTTATTCGTCAATGTTGAATTCCATTTTTGTCCTTGCTGATAGGGGCGTGCATCTTGACTTGTTTTTTTTTGGGCAACGATAGATGTACTATAATCTAAACTAGCCTAATCTAGGGGGAAGGGGTAAGGGGAGATAGTCAACTAAGACCAGTCACATATTGTGCCAAATTTTGAGGGAGGCACTGACCTCCAGCATCACCAAAGAGGGTGATAACCATTGGACCAAATGGCTAGTGGCGGACGCGCATCTTGACTGGCGACTGAAAAATTGGGTAATCCAAAATTCTGGTGATCCGATTCAAATCATGTCCAAATAAATTAGCAGATATCTGATCTGAATCTTATGTAAATTAGCGGATCCGGATATCCAAATCGTCAGGTTACATGGGATCGCATCCGAATCAAAAAGAAAGTTTTGCAGATCGAATTTTTTTTTTTTCCTCTAACGGCAACATTTTTTTTTTGCAGATCAAATTTGGATATCATTTTTTGTGATCCGGGGATATCTTATCCAATCCGCATTGTATTTTTTAATGTTTTAGATTTTTCTTATACATTAATCCACTAATTTATCATAGTTTTATTTCTTGTTTCTTATTTTAATATCTATGTCCTCTTTCAAAATAGGCTTTTCTTTGCATATGGTGTTAAGTGTTTAAGCATATTGTTATATAATTTGTGGATAAAAAATTGTAGGTGAAATATTAAATCTTATTTGCTTGAATCAAAATAAGAAAAAAAGGAAGCTACTTTACATTGCCAAAAAATATATATATAATTTTGATTAAACCTTTTTTTTGTATGACTAAAAACTAAAATGTAAGTACAAGAAGTCACTTACATGATATTTTTTAAACTTTAATACATTTAAATTTCATATTACTTCTTTCGAGAAACGAAATTTGACTAATTAAACCTAATCCCAGAAGTCAACCCAAAAGCCGACAACTCTTGGATTACTCCCAGAGACTTAACTACCCAAATCCCAACCCCCCAAAGCCGATGTGGGATAGAAACCCCTCATTGGCATACGGATTGTCTGTCCAATCGATTCAATTCGCATAATGCGGATATCCAAATATGAACCAAAAAATGACCTGTCAGATTTTTATGGCTCAGGTCAATATTTTGATTTCTTGGTCGAATGTTCAACCAGTGAACATCCCTACTTGGTGAAACACGGAGATGGGACCTCTTAGCTTCCAATTCTCTCTAGTTGTGTTAAATAATAGAATTTTGGTGTAAACAGATACATTTTTTGGTATGAACGTGAATTATAATTGAGTTGATGTAAAACTTATGATTACATCAAAAATATATTAGTTTATTGAGACAGTACCAATTTACACAACTAAACAAAACCTCAACTGGAAAAGCCTCGAATACGCTGAAACACAATAGAAAGCCAGAAACATGATCAAATCAAACGTGTGGGGAAAAGGAATAAAGGAATTCTCTAAGAAAAACTTTGTAACAGTAGAAAACAATGAGGAAAGAAAGTAAGGGAAACTGGCAAGGAAACTCTTCACAAATTTGTCTAAAATCAAAGGGAATTAGTTTCTACACAAAAAAAAAAGTGAGGAAACGATGAAAGGAAATGCTAAATGAAAATTATACAATGAAAAATGTTAATAAGAACACCATTATAAAAGAGTTGAGTCAGATCAACATTTGGCAAATGATGAAAAGCAAGTCTAAAATGGGTCAACTAGTGGACTTTCAATCGGGTAGAATGGTGAAATTGGGTCAATTTAAAAAGAAGAAGGGATAATTTCATAAACCTCTCTTGAGTTATCTAACAATATCACCTTCTATCCCTGAAGTTTTAAAAATATCATTTGCCTCCCTTATTTTCAATCTTTTGTAATATCAACTCAATTCAAAATTAGTTTTTGGAGTGTATAGATAATTGCATTCCAAATTGCCCTTTTTGTTGTGCTTCCTTAATTGTCATGACAAACCAATTTGAAATCCCTCAACATATGAAGATATACCAGTTTAATTCTTTAATGGAAAATTATAAATTTTTATCAAGGTTGGGAGGTCCTTTAACAAAATTTATTTTGTAATTTGGTTAAAAAATATTAAAAATTTAACTTATAAAATAATTTATAAAACATGTAAAAATCGTCCATAATATCGTATAAGTGAAATAACTTTTTCTTTTTGCATCTTGAGAGGATTACAAATTAATTTTTTTAGCCATCTCAAATAAGTTATAAAATACAATTTTGTACACTTTTCCTTTTTTAAACTTCCAAGCCATGAATACGGATAAAAAATGAAAATGCTAAATAATTTATAATATTACTTAAATCCACTCAAAACAGCTTACAAAGAAGGTAAGGTTTCTTTATTTGGTAACTTAAAAGGCACCTAATTAGCATATCAAAAAAATAAATAAATGTGGACCCAACATCAAAGTTTTAAAATCAGCATCAATCCCTTAAGTTGCAACATTTAGTAGAAAAAATCCACCTTTTCACCAAAATAATTGACTCCCTATTATAGCACAAAATAACTGAACCCTAAAAAGGACAAAAAAATTATTTTTCTAGTTTGAAAACATTTTAAATACATTTTTCTTTTTTTTGCAGTTTAAAAAAATTTTGCTTATGGGTTGATATATTTTGTTCCATGATATTTATATCTTCATATTTTTATTTTTGTTTTGAACTTTTGATTAATATCCTTTTTAATTTGTAATAGTAAGGCAATCGAAGGGAAACGTTAGAAAGAAACTCTGTTCTCATTCTTAAAATGAGTATTTGTCACGCCCCGAGCCCGCACGTGCCCGTCACATGACATCCGCCATACTCCCAAGTACCACTCAAGAATACAAGGCTACATTAACTAATTTAACTTTAACAGTACTAAATAAAGTGCGGTACGAATTACATATAAAAGAAAGCCTACGAATATTCAAGACATTCGTACGTTTATTCTCTAATTGAAACGGCGAAACAAAAGTAAATAAGACTAACAACTAGAAGCAGCTAGCTTGCCAACTTCTATTCATCCACAGCTAATAAAAGTTATCCTCAGGGTCTTCTATGTAAACCAATTCATACTCCTCAGAATCTGTAAAATGGTAAGAAGTGGGTTGAGCGACACATCGCTCAGTAGGTAATATCTACCCCTCTGTTGAACCATGCACTCTTGATTTTATAGATACATATATAGATATAATCAAATCATTGCACCTTGTTCACTTCCAAAATCAGGGAGGCACCGTCTATAAAATCATCAGTAGTAAAGAATGACAAGCAATTTAAAAGCATCTAATTGATAATTAAACATGAGAAATCGTAATGTCATAAATCATTTCATCTCAAGTCACAAATCAAGTCATATCAGTTCATGAGTCTCATCTCAGATCAGTTCATAAATCATTCCATATCAACTCGTAAATCATTTCATATTAGCTCATAAATCTTTCCATATTAGCTCATAACAAGTACATGTAATGACCGGCTACTGAGTACTCAATCTAGAGATTAAACCCCTTCTAAATGGGCGACCAATAGATTTCGTGACTATCGATTGATCTCATTTCATTCTTGGGTCAATCGGCCGGACTTTATATCAGGCTAACATGACCTTGCCAATCGGCTAGACTTTATACCAGACTACCATGGCTTCGTCAATCAGCCGGACTCTATACCAGACTACCATGACCTTACCAATCGGCCGGACTTTATACCAGGCTACCATGGCGATTTGACAGGACTATAGTCCCTACCGTCTATTCCATGACTGCTCTGAGTTTTACTTGTCAAAATCCATTTCATATATCATATACATAAATCTTTGCTTCCATAAAGGATTCAGCTCATTTTGTATATAAGAACATATCAAAACATTTCAAATAAATCACATAGTCCATTTTGTATAGTAAAATATAACTTTCATAAATATCCAAGTAAAGCATTTAATCAAACACCTTTCGAGTCAACACAACAAAATAGGATTGAAAACAAGAATTTCATTTTACACATTTGAAATCTCAGAAAGGTAAGTACCACCTACCTTTGTTTAGCTACTCGAGTGGAACTACCTTAGGTCCTTGTACCGTACCTATCAAATGCATGAGTTCTCTAATTAGTTGTTACTTCTTATAGATGCATAAATATACAAACTCCAAATAAGTCGAGGATTCGTGTTTAGCCCATTATATGAACCCTAATATCCTCTTCCTTAAATTGATGATTTCTATTTTTGGAAAGTTTCCTAATTTGGAAAGTTTCTATTTTTAGAAAGTTTTTTAATCGGAATGGCTCTCCTTTTAGTAAGGTTTCCTAATTTAAAAGAGAATAATTACTCATAAGTATGCTTATTATATTGACTACTGTCTTACTATATCAATTTATAATTTATAATTATTCCTTATTATTATTATCATTATTATTAGTGTTATCATCAACATTATTATTTACCGCTATGATTATTATCATTAGTGTTATATTATTAGCATGATTATTATTATTATTATTATTTTAACATTTCGTTTAACAATTTAGAACTTATCTTACCTTGTCTAATTTGGTTTCATACGGCTAAATTACGGTGTTTTAGGTTTCTATTTAAGTATCTTATATGTAATTAACTAAGTATAATTTTACATTACTAACCCTCAATTCTAACAATTATATTAAATTAGATCCTGAATTTTAATACCCACGATAAACTATAATTTATAGTTTTAAAATTTATTTATTAGATACTTACTACATTTTATATTATATTTTGGTCCCTGTATAATTTGCCAAATTTTCTCTGTCCTCAGGTTAAACCCATGGTTGGCCAAAAGGCCAACCAGTTGCCTGACCATGGTCGCCACACTTGCTGGCGGCCATTTGCTTCCATTGGTTGGCCAAAAGGCCAGCCATGGCTTTTACTTGCTGGCGACATCCTCTTCAATTTTTTTTTTTGTGCTTCGGTTTCGACCAACCTTTCCGAATTCTTT